AAAGTTAAAATCATAAATAATATTCACAGTTAAACTGGTATACAATTAAAAACATTTTATTTAGGCCTATCTAAGGCCTTCAAAAAGTTAATTCCTGAGGATGACGTTGTAACGTCGAAACATGTAGATTTTGTTTGTTTGTTTGTAATTAAGCACAAAGCTACACAATGGGCTATCTGTGCTCTGCCCGCCACGGGTATCGAAACCCGGATTCTAGTGTTGTAAGTCCGCAGACATACCGCTGTGCCACTGGGGGGCCAAACATGTAGAGTCGTCAACTTTGTGAAGGCCATAGATAGGCCTAAATACAATGTTTTTAATTGTGTACCAGTTTAACGTTAAATATTATTTATAATTTCAATCCTATAATACACTTCTATCTCCCCTTGGCCCATATATCTGGGGGGGGGGGGTACCTCTCCTTGTTGATTTTCTTAGCTGTGGGGTCCACCGAGCTCACCGTCAGTTTAGCCACTATACTATCACATCATCTAAAATACTGTAAACCTCTTGAATTTTTAGTAAATACTGCGCATATTAGTTTGCTCTTCTTATTCGTCTATTTCTGATAATATTTATAATATTCTTATATTTCTCACCGTTTAATCAAAAATAGTAAATTATTTTCAGCGCTAATAAATGTGCCAATCTTTTAGAAACACGTGCAAAGCTCCTGGTTATAATTAGAACATTCATAGCTGTAAACGCTCTACACTTACTCTGGCTACCGTACACATAGCATGTTAGTTATAAATACATTTTTTTTTTCAACAGTTATATAACCATGCCTTTCAAGCCGGTGGAACATCCCAAGTGCCCCAAGTGTAGCAAGTCTGTCTATGCTGCGGAGGAGATGTTGGCAGCAGGCCAGAAGTGGCATAAAACCTGTTTCAAATGTGGTAAGAAATATTCACAGCTCTTTTACTGCCGAAATATCTATTGTTGAAAAGTTCACGGGTCGTTTACAAAATAGTTCTGTCGCACTAATATGTTAACAGTCTTCTTAACTACCAAATTGTTCACTGTTCATTTGCTAAATAAAAAGTTATGTTGTGCGAAAGTAATGACAACACGATTCCGGTGTACATAGCATTATGTTCCAGGTTATGACGACGCCGGATAACAAGTTAACAGGTTTGTTTTTCTTTCTGTCCCAGATTACGAAAACGCCAAATAAAGCGTCATGGCAGTTTAGGCTTACATGTTCTTTTTTTTTGTTCTTCTTCTTCCAGATTCTGACAACGCCGGATATAACGTCCACGGTTGTTCAAGCTGTCCTTTTTTTTTTTTTTCAGATTATGACAACGCCGGATAAAATAGAGTTGCTTGGGTTTTTATGTGTTTTTTTTTTATTGTTCCATACTATGGTAACTGCCATAAAAACGTCTACGGTACCGGACGTTTTGCTTTCATTGTATTTATTTTTAATTTGCTTGCTACTTATAGCTTTTTGTTTCTTAAAATACACAGACTTCTTATTCTACTTCTGGAACTACTGTCTAAGTCACGTGATCGAACATTTTTTGTTTCTACCAATCTTAGGTCTCTGCCATAAGAGTTTGGACAGCACAAACGCCACTGAACACGGCGGTGAACTGTACTGTAAACAATGTTACGGAAGGAAGTTCGGACCTAAAGGTTACGGTTTTGGCCAAGGTGCGGGCACTCTCAGTATGGACACTGGAGCGCATCTAGGCAATACTGAAACACAAATGTCGTAAGTATAACTTATCTTTGCAGTTTTTGTTGTTAGTGATTAGAATTAACATGATGCAACCCCTTTGTTTACACTGCTATAGAACAGAGCACGAAAAAAAAATAAAAGTTGATACCGCATGTAATTTACTAATTGTTTTTCCTTGTTGACAAGTTAAATACCACAGTTGATTTACTAACTGTTTTCCTTGTTGACAAGTTAAATACCACAGTTGATTTACTAACTGTTTTCCTTGTTGACAAGTTAAATACCACAGTTGATGTACTAATGGTTTTCCTTGTTGACAAGTTAAATACCGCAGTTAATTTATTAATTGTTTTCCTATGTTGCCAAGTTAAATACCATAGTTGGTTTACCAACTGTTTTTTCTATGTTGACAAGTTAAATACCACAGTTAATTTACCAATTATTTTTTCTATAAGGGAGCTATACTACGTTTATTAAGCTGGTTTATGTGTATGTTACAAAGTTATAATATTTATGTCTTACCCGCTTAGAGAATACACATTTTTATCTCCTATTGCAAGATTTCGTTGTTCGAATCCGATATGTTTTTGGATCATTAACCCAAGGACAAAGTTAAACTGTTTGTAGTTGAACGTTTCGTTCTAAAGTAGATTACCATTAGTCTAAGGAAAACGTTTCCAGTTGTATACATTTCGGAATAAATATCTTAATAAAATAAATGCATTTAAACATCATTGGTCTAATTTGTGGAAACGCTTCCAGTTTTATTCCCTTTGGAATATATATCTTAATAAAACAAAACGCAATGCATTTAAACATCATTGGTCTAAATTGTGGAAACGCTTCCAGTTATATTCCCTTTGGAATATATATCTTAATAAAGCAAAACGCAATGCATTCAAACATCATTGGTCTAAATTGTGGAAACGCTCCCAGTTTTATTCCTTTTGGAATATATATCTTAATAAAACAAAACGCAATGCATTTAATCATCATTGGTCTAAATTGTGGGTCATAAATCGAAAATGACAAAGAAGAATAGGACAGCTACCACAGAAACGTTAGGTTCAAAGTTTTAATCCCGTTTGTTTTTGTCTTTAGTCCAGCTTGTTTATGTTTTTAATCCAGTTTATGTTTTCATTCCAATTTGTTTTTAATCCAGTTTATGCTTTCATTCCAATTTGTTTTTAATCCAGTTTATGTTTTCATTCCAATTCGACAGTTTTGAGACACAATAGTTAACTTTTATATTCTTCATTTTTTTAGCCAACTAAGATTAACGTGTTATTAATGAAATGTGGTATTAAGTATATCAAAGAATCACACGAGTGTCGAGTTTTCTATTCTATATAAACTTCTTGTTTTACAGCAACAAACCAACCGATCCTAACTACGGTTAACATTTGATTTCTGTTCATCAAACCAACCACCAGCCATCTAAAGATAAAATAAATAAAAGTACAACAACGCCTGGATGAATTTTCAACCAGCCAGCAAAAGATTGATATTAATATTTGTTTTTTAAAATAACCTGTTCATAAAACAGCCTGTTCATGTGATCATGGGATTACTAACTTATAAGTTCGTATTAAATTTAAAAAGTAAGCCAGAGTGCTTTTCTATGGCACATTTGCTATTTTTTACGTAGTTTAAAAAAAATCTAAAATCTTATCGTCTCTAAATAAGAAGTCGGAAATTAATCCTATGTTTAATTGTATACTGTACAAATAACGTTAGAAACTGTGTACTTTAAACACAATAAAATACCTATATCCTCGATACCAAGTCTGTTTTTATACGTCATGTTTCTTGCTAATTCTCGTGACAAATCTAGATTGTTTTAAATTGATTTAAACGCAATAAAAGTTGATGGCAATCTGACTTTATAACTATTTTTTTACCTTCTTTATTTTATAAACTTCAGTCGTCATAAATTAAGACACGATTATATCTAGGCATTTTGTAGTTAAAACAAATATAAAATGTAAGAAAATCTATGGACTTCAATCG